TTGTCTATTTTCGACCCAACAGCAAGAGATCGGGCCTTTTTTGGTGTAAACCAACAATAACTTATTTTGTTTCAAGCCGAAAAACACTTTACAATCGCACTTGTTTTTAGAGCTATTTCGCTTTCATGATGTAATGTTCACCCGTCCGCCACTGACCACGAGAACAGGAAAGTGAATTTTCCACCTGCTCCGAGCAGTTTGCCAGGTGCATGTGGACGGCACCTTACTGTGCGTAATTCATCAATTACTGTATGTAATCACACAAAAATCACATTATATATGGGATCCATGGATGACTTGCTGTTATCCGCGGTAGCTCTTGGAATGCATCGCCCAAGGATTCGGGGGACTACTGTAGTGACATTTTAGCTTATAAATGGTTTGGAAATTAGCAACAGGTTGCATCGTGTTTGAAAGGTACCAGGAAGAGGCCAGTGCTGAAACTGAAACTACTGAGTGCAATGTGTAGGTATATAAATGATTATGTAACAGTATGAAGTCACATTGGACCGAAGTGTCAGTTAAGCAATATGAAATAGTAGTGATGGGAATGTAAAAGTTGCCCGTGTTCTGCCTCCCAGTGACGGGCCAGTCTTACGAGAACATGGTGACGGAAATCATGCTAATGGGCTACGAGAGGGAGCAGGTGGTGGCGGCCCTGAGGGCCAGCTTTAACAACCCCGACAGAGCCGTGGAGTACCTGCTGACGGTGAGCCTCTGGCCTGGACCACCCAGACCAGGCAGCAGAGTGCTGCCTGCTTACACGCCTTGAGTTATTTGTGCTCATGTTCTTCTGCGACAGGGGTAGGCGATCTTATCCGAAAGGGCCGGTGTGTGTGCAGGTTTGTGGGATAACCTTTAGGTCCGCTGTTCAAACCCAGGTGTGAGGACTCCTCAGCCAATCAGTAATCTAATTAGGGAGTTGCAGCGAAAACCTGCATACCCAACAGCACTTTCTGGATATGATTGGCCATCCTGTTCTGCAGCATATGCTGACAATGCATCTACTTATTGCCTGTCTTAGTTTCACTTTTACTTATTTATTTTTTGAACATTAATTTTTCACATGCGACCTCTCCTCTGATGGCTGTAGGTGGCGCTGTGCCTTTCGATGTCTGTATCAACGCTATTCTGTCCCTCAGGGTCTTCCTTCGGAGGGAGACGGCAGCACGGCGGCCAACCCTGTAGTGTCTCCCTCTGGTGGTGCTCCTAGCGGCACCACGGGCCCGGTATCGTCACCCACAGGCTCTGCTCCTGCCCAGTCCACTACCACCGGTGGGGGTGAGTTTCTCACACACCCTGAAGACAGAGCCGGGGATCAGAACTTTTAACTGCTCTGGCACAACTGTCAGAAAATGCGTTTCTGGAAGGTTTGGTAACATTAGGCCTCTTCTGTGATGTTACTGGTTAAGGGGAGGGAAGGGTTTTTGTAGACCTATATATTATATGATGCTTCTATTCTTTTTGATCTCCCAGCCAATCCCCTGGAGTTCCTAAGGAACCAACCCCAGTTCCAGCAGATGAGACAGATCATTCAGCAGAACCCGTCTCTGCTGCCGGCTCTGCTTCAGCAAATTGGCAGAGAGAACCCCCAGCTGCTGCAGNAGTTCCAGCAGATGAGACAGATCATTCAGCAGAACCCGTCTCTGCTGCCGGCTCTGCTTCAGCAAATTGGCAGAGAGAACCCCCAGCTGCTGCAGGTACCCAGTCCCAGTGTTTTAGTACCAGCCGTGTGCAAACACAACTGGAGTGCATTTCCGAGCGCACTCAGTGAAAAGAGGTCATGTGTAGCTGCCAGTGCTATCCAGGGCTTCTGTCCCGAAGTGGAAGTCTTTCTTCCCGGCTTTAGCGTGAAGTTCCTTTTATTTGGTTTTGTGTTGAAAGGAGAGCACTTTGTAATCCACTTCAAATCTTTAACCCACTTTGCTCTATTTTTTTTTTTTTTTGTGGAAGCCTGTGCTTGTTTACTCAGAGGGAATTCTGCCAAAAAGTTGAATTTCGTGTGTCATTTCATGCATTCGCTTGCGCAGGTCCACTGCAACTTCAGGGAGCAAAATGATCACGTTTGATTCTTCTCCTTGTTTGTTGGTCACTACTGGCAGTTCCCAGTTGGACTGGTGGTGGCAGTGTGCTCTGCTTTATTTTTTCTTCTTCTAGCTAATCTCTTAAAAATGTCTTCTGCATATTTGATGCGTACATGAGTTACGTAATGTGATTTAAATTGCATTCTGGACTTAAGCCAGGGCGTTCATTTTAAACTCATCAGGGGTGGCTGCGGTTTAACGGTTACTGGTTTATGTCCCGGAAGAGACACTCTGCAGTATTCTAGGACAGATACTTAACCTGATTTGCTTCAGTAAAACATTCAGCCATCTAGATATTCTAAACTGTAAACAAATAAACTCATTGATTCAGTAACGATGCTGAAGAATACAGGCCTCTGGTGTCCAGAGTCTCTCTTCACTTCCAGTATAGGTTATAACTAAAATGATGTTTTCTGCATATGGATTTCCCTTTTAAATGCAAATTATGGAAGTTTACCATTCATTTCATTGCCTTGTTGAAATCCAGTAAATGGTTTTATTTAGCCGATTTGCACTTTTCTGATGTTACCATAGAACGTAAAAGCTAATCCTTATACTGCACGCTTACACGTGATCCGCCTTTTTCTGTGATGGGCGGACTGTTCCGCTTCAGGCGTAAGTGTCGGCCCTTTGTGTACACGCCTAAATTTGAGATTCGTGTTCTAACATGTTTAAGCATCACAGCTCGTCCTGCTTTCCTCTAGGTTTGCGATGCACAAATCGGTCCACGTGTTGGATTTATCTGACCTTATTTGTATCCATTTGTCCAAATGGCCATGAAATGTGGAATTTGTCTGGTGTAAATTATTTAGAGCCCTTAAGTGTCCTGGTCTCCTCTACAGCAAATCAGCAGCCACCAAGAGCAGTTCATCCAGATGCTAAACGAGCCGGTCCTGGAAGCCGGTCAGGGTGGAGGTGGAGGGGGAGGGGTGGCTGAGGCCGGGAGTGGGCACATGAACTACATCCAGGTTACGCCCCAAGAGAAGGAAGCCATTGAACGGGTATGTAAATAAAGGGGAATGAACAGTGGTTTCAAGTAAAAAGATTTGCCGTTGGCAGAAGGTAGTGTGATGCTGCGATTCTGCTGTGTATCTGTTCAGTTTTTTTTGTGTGTGTGTGTGTGTGTGTCATCAATGACTATTTTACAAACACTTGTTAAAGCATTAACTTTATTTGTCAAGTAGAAAAAATAGGACTGGTGTCAAGAAAATGAACTAGCTGTGTTATATATCTGAAACAGCACTGGCCTTCTCTCAGCTATTACAAGTATTTAGCAGTATTGTATCTCATATTTGGTGTGGGGAAAAAGGTGTTTTGCATGTGTGTGTGTGTGTTTGAGAGAGAGTGTTGAATAGTTACCTGACAGGTGCTGCTTCAGTCTTTGGCAAATAAAATAGCAGTTCCTTTGAGATGAGTGTAACCAATATCCTCCGCTAATTTCTTGTTTCAGCTAAAAGCGCTAGGATTCCCAGAAGGACTAGTTATCCAGGCTTACTTTGCCTGTGAGAAGAACGAAAACTTGGCAGCAAACTTCCTTTTACAACAGAACTTTGATGATGATTAAAGGGATCATAGGTTTGTTCAGCCTTTTGACCCTTTACTTTTGCCTTTACCTTTCCTAGATTTTACTACAATGTATCTTGGTAACACCGGATCAACTTTTCTGTGCAAAAAAGGAACTGTTTATGAACACTTTAATTAATAAGTAAAGTCACCTCGCCTCCTCAGAAATCAACTGTGTGCAATCTGCTTCTTTTGCATATAGCTTGGATGCAATATGAAAATTGTGTAGAAACTGTCAAATGTCTATCAGTTTAGGTGGACAAGGGTAGCTCTGGTCTTTTAATTCATAAATTTTCATACTTAGATTTTCTTTTTCCCTCCCCCGGTAGAACAGTATAGTGAGTCTAGTACTGTTTACCATAGTGTACCATATGACAGTAAATATGAAAAATGTTTTCTGTTTTTAAACATTTTTAAATGTCTAAGCATACTGCATGCACGCTTAGTTTTCAGGTTCCATGGGAGAATTACAAAAACAAGTATTGCTGTGTTTTCATGCAGAATGAAGTGCAATTCATTCATGTATTAAACATTTACAGCATATAAATGGCTTATAGCAGGCATTGTTGACAGTTCCAGTTACTATGATTTACTGTTATTTTACAGAAAAAATAAAACTTTTGAGCATATTTAAAATGACCCTTGTTTTTTCAAAGTGTACATTCTTGAAAATGTTAGTTTTTCCCCCAATTTCTAGAGCTCAAGAATGTAAAGTTTTAGTATTGATTCCATGGCTAGAACTTGGAAAGCACTGCTTGTTAACATCACTAGCTAATGTTACATGGCCATTTCTGATTCAAATTTTGATTTTATAGATTTTTTTTTTCCCCTGAAAAACATGGTTTTGAATAATTCTGAACTTGGCTGTGTAAGATTGCATAAATTAGTTCTGCTTCATTTCCGTCACTAAGATTTCCCCTACACTCATGCCATATGTTTTTTTTTTTTTTTTTTTTTTCCGTCACTAAGATTTCCCCTACACTCATGCCATATGTTTTTTTTTTTTTTTTTTAAGCATTGAGCTCTGTAGCCTAAATGCCTGTCAGATAAAATATTAAAATAAACTGAGTCATCTGCATTCCTATTCAAATTGCAGTCAGGGGCCTCAAGCCAGCAGCTCCTCATCTTCGGTTCTCATCTTTTCCTAACGGATATAGCCTTACATGCAGAGCTTTTTTTAGCTGAAAGAAGACACATTTTACACTGGATTGCAATTTTAAAGCCATTGAAAAACAAAGTTCTTACTCGCATGTTAAACTCGGCCAACAGGTTTTTATCGTACATAACTGATGTTTCGTTTCACTTAACTCTGCTAGGAAAAAACAGCAAAGCCATGTCTCCTTATGACAAATGGAAAAAAACATGCTGCAACTAAGTTACAGGATTTTGCTTTGTTACTTTTGAATTTGTTTGGAGGGTGAAAAGAAGCTTTCAAATGTGGTGTAATTTTAAAGCTGACCACCAGATGGCAGAAACATCCATTAAAAAGCTTTCTGCACACCTTTCTGCACTCTCTCTTGGTAAAGGAATGGTTTTATCTTTATTAAATCCACTGATGCATGTTAACATGAATAAAATTGTGGCTGGAATTACAGAACCAAGTTGAGGAAGCAGTTTTTCTTTAAATGACAACTATAGATTTTTTGTTTGTTTCATAGTGTGGGCATGCAGATTGTTTGCAAGTGTACTTGTGTAGGTCCAATTATCAATCTTAGATGTAAAATACTCACAGCTAAACTACATAGATATACATAGCGATAACTTTGATTAGCTAAAAGGCCACGTGTTCCTTTAAACTCGAAGGTTGCCAATCCTTCCTTCAATACCCTGTAATTTTCTATTGGCCTAAAGGGGGCAGTATGACTACAGCATTCTGCTTTTTTCAGTTGAAAGCTCCCTTTCAGGTGAATGGTGACCATGGGACTCCTTTATTGAGGAAAAAAGTAGGAGAGAAAGAATTACAGCAGACTACAGAAAGGTTAAAAGATGTGATCTGAGCCTTCATCCAGTTCTGGCAGGTGTGGTTTGTAACAGTCCTGTTCTCTTGTTCAGGAAAGGGAGAATTCAGCTTATTGTTCTAAATACAAAGGTCTGTTCCTGTGTTTTTGTTTGCTTTTTTCTTACTTTTGTAAAAGTCTCTACTACCCTCTCGGTATGATTTAGGATGTGGAGGATTAGGTTTTGTGTACCATTTTCCTCCTAAGACCTCAGGCTTTGAGGGTGGTTACAAGATGTCACTCAGTTGACATTCGCTATATAGACGTTGCCATTTAATGCACAGTTTTAATAAAAATGAAAAGGTAGCGGGTCCTTTCATGAACTAGGGGGTATTTGACTGTGACAAACATTTCTCTACCACACACAAAGAGCAACAGTGTTTTTTTTTTTGATGTGGTTGAACATCATTTCAACATCAATAGAAGGTGGTATAGAAACAACCTGAAAGGCATGCAATTGTAATTATACCCTAAAGATTGGTTTAAAATGCAGCTGTGTATAGCTAATTGATAAAAGCACAGAAATTTATATCTCACATTGCTTAGCAGTTGCCTTAATCCAATCAGCTATGATAAATACTCTCTGAAATGGCTTAACATCCTTTGTGATATGTTTAGCATGCCTAGCTCTAGATTTAACGGCTCAGAAATTGTATACAAATGATTAATCAGGAGTTCGAATCAGATTAAATGACACAGCTAAATGTCATCCAATAGTATGTCTTGCTTCAGATTTCTTCTCTCTTGTGTATGAAAAGAGAATACCATGGAAACATGACATCTTAGAAGTATATTTGTTCTGAGCTTTTTAGATAAAAGCCTAAAATGGCCCAAGGCAGTTTCCCCATTATTCATGAGAGTAATTATATATTCTTCTTTAAGTCATGGATAATAAAACGAAACAATGTCGGCATAAAAATAATACTACATGTACATAATGCCATCTAAAATCTGGGAAATTATTTTCATATTTCTCGTCTTTTACCATGTGTTTTAATGTTTAATAGGGACAATACAAAAACATTTAACAGATATCCTGTAATTTGATAGCTAATAATGGTATTTATCCAACAGATATAAAGCAAAATTATTAAATGTGTGAAACCGGCAGTTTCGAAGCACAACTGCCTATTGAAATGTAAATAAAATATACAAAACCATAAAGGTTAAAATGTACCAACATTTAAATAAGTTTTATTTGATGCATAGTGTTGTGATAATACTGTACATACAAATTCCAGCTTCAATAAAACATTTATTTACAAATATACAAAATTAAGCAGATTATATTATTTAGTGTTAAAAACCTTTGTTCAGACTATTCTCTGAAAAATGTTCCATTTAAGACATTATTGCACTTTGTAACCACAGTGTAGTGAAAACTGACATCACTGCTTAGAAGTAAAACATTCACCTGATTGTTGTCAAGCATGTGGAATAAAACTTTGTAAGAAAGTCACAGATATCCATATGGCACTTAAAAAAAGGCCAAGTTTCCCAAAAGCATTCAGTGGAGTTTGGGTGAACTTTGCGCCATTTTGCTCTCTCAGCCCCCTCCTTAGGTACCATAAATACGCAAGTCACTAAGCACCATCTTGTAACTTACTTTAAATGATTTTTGTACCCCAACTGAATGGCCTGTTAAAACAATATAAAATAGATTTTTAATACAATGTTGCACAGTGTGTTCCAGAAGAGAGATGTAATTATGAAGGTTGAAGGCCTCTTTGTTACTGGTAATCATTTGTATTTTTTCCCCTGAAATTCATAGATTTCCAGTCATACTTTGGCACTTGGTCCTCCAAGTTTTGTCTGCGTAGGGATAATCATTCCAGTTAAGTCCCAGGGAGTAATGATAGATCTCAAGAGTCTTCTGCTGGTCACTGGAAGCCAATGACATCACCTGCTTTTCAAGCCCTGGTTGTCAGTTGTTTTGTCATTGACGTCAGCGTGTGTCATATGGCCATAGCTCAAAGGCAGTGCACAGTATAAAGTCCCAAATTTCATTAGGTTTTACCTTTCGGAATAGTCTTATAAGTGCCGTTTCATATGCAGGGCCAAGTGATCTGACCTGGAGAAGGCCCGGTCACATTTTTGACACTGGAAAGGGCGATGGCCGGTGTGTTTCCTGTAGTGGCGTGTAAGCTCATCAGAACGGGCGAACTTCCAACCACAACCCTCCCAGTCACAGTGATAAGGCTTCTCTCCTAAACACAAGAGGTTCAAAATAGAATCACGTGGAAATGGACAACTTTTACCATTGTGCACAGCCTGCTCTACATAGACATCTAGTGACATATTATCATTTTCAAAATATTGTCTTTATCGAATTATTGTCTACTATTGGCTGCTAACTTCCAACTGCCAGCTTGCCTATATACTCCTGAAAGTGGTAAAAACATCAATGCCACTCTCATTAGTCATGCCATGATATGAACTTTAACTTGCTCAACTTGCAAGTTATCTTTCAAGGAATTTGTCCACTTATTACTCAAGGTATTTGAGATACAAGACACCATTTTTCCACATTTCAAAGGTGTAAACATTGTTCCTACCCCCACCTATTTTGATTTCAAAATTTCAAATGTATACAAACAAGAAGGCTATTGTTACGATTCCTCACTCGACTGACGGGCCCCTTTAAGTCGGGTAAGCCTACCTGTATGAGTTCTGTGGTGTGCTTTCAGATGGGAGCTTTTGGTGTAGGTTTTTCCACAGCCCGCATAGTCACACGTGTGTGTGGCTATCCTTTTCCTGGGCCAAGATCGACGCCCTCGCTTGGGTTTGGGCTCTTCTGGCAAGGATTCTGCCGGGGACATGAGCTCTAGGGGTGAAGAGGGTGGAGTGAGCATAGCCTCAGGTGGGCAATGGAGAACGCACAAATGTTCTTCAAAAACACTTAGACAGGACTGACCTTGGTACTGCAAGGATGGAGGCGGCTGGAAGGGAGGGTAGCCTGCGGGGACATGGTAGCTCTGGGGAAGAGGCAATGGCGAGTGATTTATAACCTGAGAAGAGGGGTGATGGTCTCTGCTTAGTATGTCTTCCTGGGTCAGGCTTCCTGACAGACGGGTGCCCACCCTTGGGTGGCCAGAGGGAAATCCGTGATGCTCAAGATGGGCTCTTTGGCAAGTCCCAGTGTGAGAGTTAATGCCAAGGTGTGGATCTATTTGTTGGGTAATGGTGCACGTGGTAGGATTCTCCTTCTTTATCCTATTGCAAATGAAGGGCAAAGACGACTCCAGAGAAGGGCTGGTTTTAGTGACACTGTGGTTCTGGCTATAGTCCGCTATGTCCATGGTAGTCTTGACCACAAACTTTCCATGTACGCTGGCTGGTTGCAGGTATGCAGGATCCAGGTCTGGTCGCATAAGTTCTGCCACAAAGCCCCCTGAAGGAGGCATGTCATTGACGTCGGGGATAGCATAGAGGACATCACTAGAAGTGTCCTGAGGAGAGGGGAGCTCATAAGGAGCTGGGGAGGGGGGCAGGTTTTGAGAGTTGCTACCAATGGTTTCCTGTTGCTGCTGTAGCATTGTGTTGGAGAGGATGAAATCATAGTCCAGCAAGTCTTCGGGCTCCTTCTTAGCCAGTCCTGCCAGGATATCTTCATCGGGACAACTTCCAGCTGAAGGTGTGTAGGGTCTCTTTAAAAAGGAGAGCTCTTCCTTCCATCTCTAAGAATAAAAAGATAGCAAGATGTTTTGATCCAATTACTGCAGCAGCAGCTATTACTATGCATTTTAAAAATTTATCTTAACACTTCTCACCTATGCAAACCGATGGATTAGGTCAGACTACAACTTTTAGCTAAAGTAGCAATCTCATATATTTTTCAAAGAATTTGCTATGACTTCACTTTTTCTTTTAATCTCTGTTACCTAATCTAAAAGGATCAATGACAGCTAAATAAGTTCTCTGTCAGTATTTTTTTAAATTACGTTAGATGCTGATCCTAAGGATTTAAGGTGTGTCCGTCCACTGACAGTATTCGGCGACCGAAAAACTTTGTTATACCGCCAGGAACGCATTTGATGCGTTTTAATGGATTTTTAAAGACTTGTCATTTTCATTGTAAATTCGAAGTAATAAAGTAGAGCGACGGTTTAATTAAAAAATATCATCCTATAAAGCTAGTAGGATATAGTGTATGAAACGCTACAGGTAGTCAACGCCCCTGTGGCTGACATTAGGTGAACATCGTCTACAAACAAAATGGCAAAGCCGAATACTCTCTACTAAAGTGAAATACCACGGCGTAAATAAATAATCATAATCATAATCAAAATAATCCATGCATGCTACTTAGCTATTTTTGTACAGTTTAAGACAAATGGATCATCTGAGCATACTCACTGAGTTGGCTAACCCCGGTCCTATCGATTTATTCTTGACAGTTGGACTACTAGCAAACGTAGATATTGACGGCAAAAGCGTACCGCTTAATGCCATATCGAAGTCACTTGGCGGCGGCTGCCTGCAAAAACACAGGAAAATGTAATTTTTATTCTTCAAAAAAAGTCAGGTTATAGCAAATAGTCTTCTGTCCTCTCAAAAGTTACACGAGGACCGGTGAAAATAACAGCGCTTGATGGAAAATAACAAGATGATCTTCTACACCAAAACCGAAAACGCACCTCATCAAGGATGATTTTTATTTTTTGTATTTTTTTTTTATTTTATTTTTGCTTATAATTCCCTCTGCTGGATGCAGCCTTTGTGTACCACAGGACAGTTTTAAAATGTTCTTCTCAGTCGCTCCAAATGACACCGGTGTCACTGCTGCAAATGCGACACATGAAGCGGATCTGTCAAGAAGGAGGCCGCGGAGCTGTAACGTAAAGCGGTCAGACGAGAACGACGCTCGGGGAGGGATTCCCTACAGCTGCCGATGCCGCTGCCATGGAACGGGCTCACACGGTTACATCAAACCGAGCGCTAGACCGCGTGAATGGGCTTCCCCCGACTTTTAAAATCATCCCGGGGACACGCCTTCCGGTGGCCATGGCGACGGGACGTGGAAAAACGAAAACACGTGACGCAAAACCGAGAACACAGGCAGCTGGTTTTCAGCGCAGGAGGGAGGGAGAGAGCGAGGGAGAGGGGGAAGGAAAAAAAAGGGATGTCTCTCTAGTTACTGTTTGTATCTAAACAGCACGATAGCAACAAAGGGGGCCTCCGCACACGGCGTGTTTGCTTTTTATTCACGGCTAATGTGGAAGAACCGGATCCTCGCACACTTATATAGAGATAAGGCATATAGGCAGGTCTCCACCTGAAGCCAATGCAATCGTAGCTTAATGTCCCTTCGAGCAAGGCGTATTTTTCTTTTAACATTAAACATGCGCAATCTTAAGACGTTCTGGTTTATGTTTTGAAACTGCTCGTTGTTGTTTTACGTGTTTAAAAGTTATTTCTTGTGGTTTTAGTTGCATTGGCGAGGCATGGGAATTTGTTGCGAAATGCGGAGGGAAAGTTCAGATCGGTACCTGGCTAACAGTTGCGTACACTTCTAAGATCAGTTTCGTAGCCTGGCGTTTAAGCAAAGTTCTGCACAAGGACCAACAGTATGGCAGCTTGTACTAATGCCTGCAGACATACCGTCAACAACGACATTAATCATAACGTTTTATTTATATTACATTTTTTTCGGTTTCTGTTTTTCAACAATATACAATACACATATGATCAGCCCTATTTTTTCCATTGTGGGTGGGAATAAAATACCATAAAAATTACATTACTATTAAGGTGTGTAGCAGTTGTGTTAAAGCCTTTAAATAGCTCAGCTTTGCCAAGAAATGTAAGTGACACGTAGTGTATTACGTGACCTCTTTGTCTACATTACAAAGCTTTAACTGGTGATATGACTTTAACACGAGGTGTGTCAATGAGTCAGAGTCGTAAAGTTTTCTTATTAGTATTCTCATTAGTGCTCACTAGTTCTCACTAGTATGTGTGTTAAACCAGTCGCTAATTTTAACCGATTACTAAACCTTCTTGAAAACATTTCTTAGATCTAAGAACGATATGCAAAGGGGTACAGTCTGTAGTACCGTAACCCTGTTGGATCGGTATTAAATAATCACAAAAGCATCCTGTCGTTTGAATACGGATAAAGTGAGAAAAGCTGCAGTCTCAGGAGAACAGTTGATATTGTACATTTGAACATGGCACAATACTTAAATTGTTTCAGTGAAATATCAAACTGTGAAACTATATGTTGCATTGTATAAAAGCATTAGCTGGGTAATATAATGTCTTGGATATCTTGTTTTTAACCCACGTTCCCCATAAATTCAAGCTGAAATAAAAAAAAAAACGCTTAACATTTATTACCAATTCCTGGGTGAAAGTGTCTTAATTGTGAAGGAGAATGTTTCCCTTAATATTCAAAGTGCCCCCCCACCCAATAGCTACAGGAAGCCCCACAAAACGATCAATGAATCAGTGAGTCTGCAACCAAATCAAACAGTCTATAAATCAGGGGCAATTCTAGAATTTTTACCCTTAGGGGGGCTCAGCCCCCAATAAATGAATGCATTATGAAGGTGCAATTAATGTGACGTGTGCCTGTACATTTTTCATAACTATAAGCGTTTGGAACTTTGAATGATTTTGTGTATGCTTGCTAAATATGGTTGACATTTGCCTATGTAATATATGTGTACAACAATTATGCAGTTATTTTGCAATAGTTATTTATATGATTGGTTAATAATTGCCCAGAGAATTAATACTTTCTGCATAATTACATGCTTATATTTTGCAGTATGTAAGCTGACTGGTAAGCCTAGAACTGAAGTGTTGGTTGTTGTGCAAACCGTGACTCCAAATTGCCTGTAAAAGTTATTTATATAACTTATAAAATATTGAATATGCACTCAAGCTGTTTTTGAAGTGGTGTGTGCAATGTTTGTATAGTGAGGGCAAGCCAACATAAACCTATCCCATAATTAGAGGTATCAGTTAAAAGTTTTGTGTTAAGAACAAACACACAAAAGTCCTGTTACATCAGGATGCAATCAGAAAGGGATTACTTACCTTGGTTCTTTTACATATATATCCTTCCACTAAAGATAATTCACTTGGCAATTTTGGTGGTGCATGTGCAGCATTTGCTGTAGAACTGTAACATTATATATAGCATGGTGGCTTAGGGGTTAGAACTGCTTGAATCCCATCTCTGCTTTGACGTGCAGTTAGGCTGTTTGGTGTTTCTAAATTGCTCCGAGAGTATGGCTCTGTGTATATATGCCCTGCAGTGGACGGGTAACACAGCCCTATGCTGCCTGGGTATTGGTGCCAGGAACTTTAACCAGGATACAGACTTAAAAGATGGATGGATGGAAGCAGCAGTAAAATTAAAGGAACTTCACAAGTTAGACTTTTTCAGAAAACTTACATGAATTTCCTATCTAAAACTGATGCCATAATCCTTGCTTTAATTTAGAATCAGAAAATTGATTATAAGTCATTTTCATTATGCTGGTCAGGGTCACTGGGGGGCCTGGAGCCTATACCAGGCAGTGTAGGGCACAAGGCTGGGGTCTGTACTGGATAAGATACTAGTCCATCACAGGTCACATATACACTTGCACACACAGTCATTCACCATGGGAAATTCAAAGACACCAATTAGGAAACCAGACTATACCCAGAGGAGACCTGCGTGACACATGGAGAATATGGAGTGCAAAGATGGGGTTCAGACCCCCAACACTGAGCTACCTTCCTGGCTCATATACACTCACTGGCCACTTTATTAGGTACACCTGTTCAGCTGCTCGTTAAAGCAAATATCTTATTAGCCAATCATATGTCAACAGCACAGTGTATAAAATCATGCAGATACAGGTCAGGAGCTTCTGTTAACGTTCACATCAAACACCAGAATGGGAAAGAAAGGTGATTTAAGTGACTTTGAATGTGACATGGATGATAGTGCCAGGTGGGCCGGTATCAGACACTTCTGATCTACAGGGATTTTCACACACAACCATCTCTAGGGTTTACAGAGAATGGGCCGAAAACGAAAAAACATCCAGTGAGCAGCGGTTCTCTGGGTGAAAATGCCTCGATGGCAGAGGTCAGAGAAGAATGGCCTGACTGGTTCAAGCTGATAGAAAGGAAACAGTAACTCAAATAACCCCTCTTTACAACCAAGGTATGCAGAAGAGCGTCTCTGAACGCACAACATGTAGAGCCTTGAAGCAGACAGGCTACAGCAGCAGAAGGCCGCACCGCTAAGAACAGTATCAGCTAAAAACAGGATATTGAGGCTACAGTGGGCATGGGCTCACCAAAACTGGACAATGGAAGACTGGAAAAACGTTGCCTGTCCAGATGTCTCGATTTCTGCTGCGACATTTAGATGGTAAGAGATGGTGAGAATTCAGTGTAAACAACATGAAAGCATGGATCCATCTTGCCTTGTATTGACAATTCCGGGTGGTGGTGGTGTTTAGTGTGGGGGATTTTTTCTTGGCACACTTTGGACTCCTTAGTACCAAATGAGCATCGTTTAAATGCCACAGCCTACCTGAGTGTTGTTGGTGACCATGTCCATCCCTTTATCACAGGGGTGTCAAACTCCAGTCCTGGGGGGCCGCAGCCCTACACATTTTTGGGTTTCCCCTCATATAACAGACCTCATTCAACTCCTTGCACCTCCTTGTGCTAATTACCACACAGCCCTTGAGCTGAATCATTTGTGTGTGGAACAGGGAAATAACTAAGCTACACAGGGCTCCAGCCCCCCAGGACTGCAGTTTGACACCCCTGCTTTATGACTACAGTGTACCCAGATTCTAATGGCTACTTCTGGCAAGATTACACACCATGTCACCAAGTTCATATAATCTGACTGGTTTCTTGAACATGACAATGAGTTCACTGTGCTCAAATGGCCTGCAGTCACCAGATCTCAATCCAGTACAGCACCTATGGGATGTGGTGGAACAAGAGATTCACATCATGAAAGTGCGACTGCCACATCTCCAGCAAGTACATGATGATGTCATGTCATCATGGACCACAGTCTCGGAGGATTATTTCAAGCTCCTTATTGAATATGTGCTACGAAGAATTTAGGCAGTTCTGAAGACGAAAGAGGGTCCGTCTCAGTACTAGCAAGGTATACTTAATAAAGTGACCAGTGAGTGTATTTTTCAGTGTAAAACGTCCACATACATAGAGCAGAGGAAGTAATTCATTTTAATTATTGATCCACAGGAAATAAAGCTGAATATTGAAGCGTATTAATAGAATAATAGTATAAAGATTGTTAATGGAGGTAATTTTGCAGTATTATCGATACAGTATGTTATGTTTAATGACTGAAATGAAGACTGCTGCTGTGTTATTGTGAACTTATGCAAAAGTAGAAGCATGATTCACGTGAAATGTGTTGAAATCAACATGTCATTTGAAATTCTTGTACTTTATCAGATATAAAGTCCCTGGCACAGTCTTTTTCACTATAGCTCTCTTCTGCTGCTTTTCACTTGACATTCTAAACCACACCAATGAACTACTTCAAGCTGAAAAAATGTTTCAGTGTCTTTTGTTAGAAAAGAATTATTCTTTACTTCCCTGCTTTAAGGATTACTTCACTGAATCATATGTCATTTTTGCTGTGAAACAACATCAGAATTATCAGGCAGTGTTAATGTATATGTACATTTTAGATCTATATTTCAGAAATTGTTTAGTATGTATAGACATTGTTTAGTATGTATAGACATTGTTTAGTATGTATAGACATTGTTTAGTATGTATAGAGAACTACGACTTTACTTTTGGCAAAATTGCAGTAATTTCCAGCTCAGTCATAATCAAGAAGGAAAAATGGCACAATTATCAAAGATGTGATGAAATTTATGACAAGGAGTAGGGAGTAGGGTCACCAGAGAATTGATGTCTCGTATAAATGAGCAAAGCAGAGAATTTGAGAACTGTTTGCTTACTATAACAGAATCACC